CAAACTTTTCGGTTCCCCGGAAGAAAACCTGACAAAAAGCTACAAATTCATGTTCCAGAAACCGCTCGACGTCCGCGAAGGTGACGCCCGGCCTCGGTTTTGGGGGTAATTCCGGGGTTTTAGGGTGTTTTTTGGGGGTACTCAACACCCGTGCTCCCCTTCCCGTTGTAGTGTTGTCGTGGAGGATCGAGGAGCTCGGTGACGCCTTGAAGAGCCACCACCGCTTGGAGGACTTCGCCTCCGTGGCCCTCCCGGCGCAGGTGACCCCCAAAAAACCCCCGTACAACCTTTTTAGGGGTCTCTTCTTGAGATTTTGGGGGTCTTCTCTTGATATTTTGGGGTAAACCTCTCTGTTTTTTGGGTCATCCCCCGCAGGAAGCGGTGACGACGTTGGGCCAGATCGGTTGTGATGGCAACGGGAAGCTCAACGCACAATCGGTGGTGCTGGCGGGCGACCGGGAGCACTCGTCAGGCGCACAAATACCCCTCGACCTCTCCGAATTGAGGGAATATTCCCTTTTTCCCGGCCAGGTGACATCATAAAGGGGTGGTTTTTTGGGGGTGAAAACACCCCAAATTTGGACCCCGACATCATTTTATCCCCCCCAAAAAAAACACCTCCAGGTGGTGGCGCTGGAGGGGACCAACAGCACCGGGAGGAAGATGGTGGTGTCCAAGATCTACGAGGTGACGCCGCCGGCACCGGGGGCCGCGTTTCGGGGTGAAAAATGAACATTTTGGGGTCATTTTCTACTCTATCCGCAGGGGGTGCCCCTTCCCTTCCACGCGCCGACGCAGCCGTCCTCAGGTGAGCATTTTTTGCCCCAAAATTGCCTTTTTTTGCCCCAAAACCCCATTTTTTTGCCTCCAAACTCTATTTTTTTGTCCAAAATTCTAATTTTTTTGTCCCCAAACCTCAAATTTTTGTCCAAAAACCTCCCTTTTTGCCCCCAAATCTCACTTTTCATCCCCAAAACTCCCCCGCAGAGCAGCTGACGGTGCTGGTGGCCTGCGGACCCTTCACCACCTCCGACAGCGTCGCCTACGACCCCCTCAGCGACCTCCTGGAGGTCATCGCCCGCGAGCGCCCCCACCTCTGCGTCCTGGTGAGAGCGGCCCTGAATTCATTCATTCATTCATTAACTCATTATGATAAGTAGAATTAAGGATTTCTGGTAATTAAACATTTTATTGGTGTTATATATTAGTGGATATATAATATATATGTTACATTTTAATGTTATATATGTTCTAAC